TGTTCAAAAGTAAGAAATTTATTTAATTTGACTTTTAAATTGAATGACAATACTTTGTAAATGGATACATCCAACTATATTGCACGAGTCTCGCAATAGATGCCTTATATATAAGATGAATTAGAAGATGTTCCATAGAGTAAAAAAAGCTATGTGGAAATATACTTTGTAGTTTGTACAAAATGATGGGTATCTATCATTAAGTCGCAACATATTTTCTTACTTTATAACTGTAGAAGTTAATTTCTTAAAAAATAAACTCAACTCTGTAAGTGATTGCCAAACATTTCTCGATAAAAATGCCCAAAATGCAATTAGAAGTAAACGCTGCATGAAGATGTGACAGTCATGACATTTCATCCCATAAAGTTTGTCATATTGTATATCAACACATCTAGATAGATTAGACACATATCCATCGGGGAATCTAAGTTGTTTTACCCATTCAAGCAATCTTCTTTTTTGTTATTTCGACCGAGTATATGCAGCTTTAGAATACTTTCTAGACGCATCATCCTTTGCTAATTCTAACCTTTTACGGAAGAGTTTTAAGTCTTCTCTAGAGTTGGCATTATCTTTAGTTTTTCCTAACATATTCATGATTATGTTAAAAACATTATTAAAAATATTTCTTTTAATATGCATGACATCTAAATTATGTCGGATGACATTTATACCCTAGTAAGGCAAATCCCAAAAAATACTTCGCTTCCTCCATCCACACATCCGAGAGATTCTACTATTATGGTCATCTGCACCATCTTTTGTCACCTTTAACAACCTTACTTGCTTGACTAGATGTAACATCTCTATTCTAGATCGGATTAAAGGAGGACCAGATTTAACAACTTTGTTGGCGATGAATGCTTTCTTGTTTCTTCTATATGGATGATTATGAGGAAGAAACTTTCAATTGTTGTCAAACCGGGAGGTCTTTCTTCCATTTGAAAGGGAGAAAGCATCCGAATTTTTCATCTAGTAAGGATAAGCTTATTTTCCTATATTACTCCAATCGGATAACATTGAATATGCGGGAAAGTCACCGATAGCCCATATAACTACAACTCTCAATAAAAAATTATGCTTACGGTACACATCGTAGGTCATTACACCACCTCCCATAACTAGATAGCTCGGATATAAAAGGTTGTAAGTAAACATTCAACTTATGTTTTAGTTTTGTTGGACCCGAAACAATTATCGTTAGGAATATATATTCCTCCTTCATACACATCCATGGTGGCAAATTGTATGGAGTCATAATGATTGGCCACGAGGAATATTGTGCACTAGATTAACCAAATGGTTGAAACCCATTAACACACACTCCTAAGCGGACATTCCTTATTTTAGTTGCAAAAGAAAGATTGATCCGATTGAAAATTTGCCTTGCAATTGAATTAGAAGGATGATGCATTACTCCCGCATCATCTCCCCCATGTTCAGCATGGCACGTCATGTGCTCGACTGTTGCATTCGATGCATACAATCATTGCGAGACACGGAGTTAGACGAAAATAGTATATTTTCTTATTTGAAACAAGTTTTTCTCTTCCCGATCCTCAACGAGAACTTCAATATCAAAGATGTTGACAAAATCTGTATTTATCTAATTCATTGTCTTTCTTTCAATAAATCATGCACCCGTTATGACAATAATAAATTTTTTCCATCGATAAACCCATCCCCTTCACCAGTTTCTTTGTTTCATAAAAGTTATTTGTCATACGAGTTATCAACCAACATCAACTCCTTCATCGACTCACATAACCGATCGAAACATTTTTTTGGAAAATGATATTCGACTTTTAGGTTAAGCATTCGAGCAACTATCGATAATTGCAAATGCTCATCACAACCAGAGCCAAATCTCTCTATGTGATGCATTTGACATATCATAAAAATGTTGAGCCCTAGGATTAGAAACCTCCTCCGTGTTGGACAAATCAAAGGATGGACCGATTCGTATTCATTATCATACTTTGATATGGGTTTTGGGGCTCACTAGAACTACCTTCGCCTATATAATAATTTCCCGAAACATTCGACTCCTCGAATTTTCGGATGTCATATAGGCTTCAAATTCACTATGATGCACCCAATTATAATATCCCGACACAAAACCTTTACGGCACAAATGATATTTGACCGTCTCAATCTCTTCATAATTTCAATTTCGACACTTACCGAAATTACAATGACACTTAATTTTCGTTTTGTCCATACATTCGGGATGCTCAACAAGAAAAGCTAAAAATTGCTCTACACCTCGACAAATTGATCATTTAATAATCCGTTAACTAATCTAAAATTCATCCATTATTGATCAACTCTCATTTTTTAAATTACTGCAAAAATAATAAAACCATTCCAAACAATTACTTGTCATCATTTCGAATTATTTTAAAAAAATATTAAACACATATATTAGTTATATTATTATCTCTAATTAGTTATGAATTTTTTTTTAGAATTTCACTTCCTATTTAAATATTATATTAAGAATGATTATATATTTTTTTAATGAATACTTAATTTCTTAATATTCAATTATTTTTTATGAAATTTTTTAATATTTTCAACCTTAGGTTCAATATATAATAACGTTAATCTAACCTAAACAAAACAATTAACCTAATTTAAACTACCTTAGGTAATTTAAGGTAATTACATTATCATTTTCACTTAAAATACATGAAATTTTATACTTTTTTAACCGAAATACATTAAATTATTTTATCAACTAAATAATTTATGAAAATATTCAACTAAAATATTTATTTAATTCTATTAATTATCTAAATATTTATATAATTTTAACATTTTTAAAGTAATTTAAGTAATTACATTATCATTTTCACTTAAAATACATAAAATTTTATACCTTATGAACCAAAAAAAACTTTAAATTACATTATCATTTTCACTTAAAATACATAAAATTTTATACCTTATGAACCAAAAAAAAACTTTAAATTACATTATCACCTAAATAATTTTTAAAAATATTCAACTAAAAGATTTAGTTAATTTCTATTAAATAATAAAATATTTATAAATTTTTTAACGTTTATTTTAATTTTTTAATTACATTTTTTTAATTTTTTTCGAACCGATCAAATCATTATACATGTTATATTATTTCAATTTTAATAATTAAACTAATAAAATTACTTATAAAATGTACATTTGAATTGACTAAACTACGTCCAAAATAATATAATTTTAAAATTAAATTTAAACAAACAACTAAGCAAATTAACCTATAACACTAAAAACAAATAAATATATAATTAATTCAATTAATCATACTAACAATTTAAGATTAAATAATTAAATTTTAATCTAACAACTGAAAATTAACAAAATTTATATTTTTAAGCTTTACGTTAACACAAATTAACCTAACAACTAAAATAACAATAAACTAAAACTTAGCAAATAAATCTAATAGTTATAAAAATAAAATAACAACTAACAAATTTAAACTACTACGTACAAATTAACATAAGAAGGTAATTAACAACATTCAAACAATTAATAAACTAATAAATAAAAAAATTTAACTAAAAATATATAAAAGTTAGATAGAGAAAGTTTCACCCGATAGATCAAGTATATAGAACAAAGATATGATCCGATTTTGAGGGAGAAAGATATCCCTTACTTTGTTGAATGCTTTGGAAAAAAATTTAGTGGCATGGGGGGCGTGGGTGATCGTTTTTTTGGTCGGCGTCAAAAAGGGAGGTATGGTGGAGGTAAGGGAAACAAATGAAGGAGGGAGGTCTGGTTTATATAGGGAAAATAGTGACGGACTTGAATCGTCACTATTCTCGTCACTATTTTGGCCGGTCCGTCGCTATTTGGGGAGGAAATTCCCCCCAATCGGCGACGTACGTTGTCCGTCGTTGATTAGCGACGCACCTAGTCCGTCGCTCATTAGTGACGGACGGTCGATTAGCGACAAAATGGCCTTCCGTCGCTAACATTTAGGGGGAAATTCCCCCGAGAGCTACCGACGGACTAAATTCGGTCACTAATTTTTTATTTAGCGATCGAATTTCCATCGCCGATCCATCGTTGATTATGGCGCTTTTTTTCATGCCTTATTTAACGACGAATGTTTAACCGTCGCTAAGTATCTCTCGTTAATATGTCACTAGACCATCGTAAAAAATAGTATTTTATAATCCATCCTAATAGCGATGAAAAATAATGTGTCGCTAATTCATTGTTTTCTAGTAGTGGAGTGGGGTGAAGTTGTCTTTTTTAATAAATTTTTAATGATAAGTTTTAGTTTATTATTAAAATTATTTTTCAATCCTTTTTTATTCGGATGAAAATATTGTTAATTGAGACCCCTACTTAGCCTTGTGTTGTTTAATGATTGATTGTTATTAATGATAACATGTCAAGTTGGATAAATAGTCTATGTCGTTAAAACGGAGAATTTGAATTTATAAATCTAAAAAAATAGAGAGTTTCAATCAAATTAAAAAAAGAGAGTAAGATGTCTCAATTAAAAAAAAATTAAAGAATAAAGAAACCAAATGTAGGATAAACTCTAAACATAACTATTGGTTCTTTTGAAATCAAATCACCATATCGAGTCATTGACAAGTTCCTCTAGATACCTTAAAAATGAAAGCAAACTCATTTCAAAAGAGAGTAAAGGAAAATCGAGGACGCACATCCTTCTTTGTGCAATTTTTAGCTCATGTTGTGTAGTTGATTAATATAAGCATCGTAGGCTAGATAGGAATCATATTCACAAAGAAAACTTGCAAGCTTTTCACAACCACGTAATTTTGCAATGAACTATTTACAAAGCGTGCCAACTTTCTCTATTTTATAAATACGAAAAAAAAAAACAAAAAAAAAAAACAAAAACAAAGAAAAATAGGCACGATTAGCCAGCATTAACTTTCTGGAGACAAAAGCCACTAATTTGACATTTTAAAAATGTGACAAAATATAGCCTTATTTGGCCACCTTCTCGATCAGCACCTTGTTGATTCACCATAGATGTAATCAAGAATTGCAATGACACCGACAATGAAAACCTGATCAATGCCTGGTTTCACAACTACATTATAGAGATCCCTGCTAGCCATCAACTGGTCTACTTCCTTCTTGACTCCAATCTGTGTGATATTGAGGAAAAAAGAAAAATATTCACAAGTTAGCATATTTGCTTTTTGAAAAGTTTTTTTTTCTCTTCCTTCTTTTGAAATGTGAAAAAAATATAAAAGAACTTGAGAATCTTGACATACAAATATGATTAGGAGTCTTGATCCCGACTTAATTTACATCAAACAATATCCTCAATTAATAAAGTAAGAATAAAGAAATTAATGTAACTTCAATACTAATTGTGGAACATAAATTACATACCTGAGCTACAATATTGCCTAAGTAGTCAACAATGCTACAAGCCCGATCAGGGAAATAACCTTTGATCTCGAAGTCCCAGTCTTTGTTGCTTCTTCTAGGCTCAGTGGAAACTCTGATAGCATTGTTCTTTACAAAACAAGAGTGGTTTGGTTCCTTTAAGCTGAAAACCAGCTTCTGTGCTCCTTCGTAGTCGAAAGTGTAACCTTTCCATTTCCTATGAATGCTCAAGGCCTGAACCATCCCTCTCTGGATTAAAAACAAAACGAAACAAATTAAAACACCGCGCAATTAACCAAGGTCAATTATATATCTGATTGCATGATGTACGTGTCTGTGTATGGATACATTTTCCATGTTTGCATTTTATTTATTCCAGTGTAAATCCCCACATGATTTACATAGGCCCTTAAAAAAATTTCTAGTTGAACGATATTAAGGTGTTTCTCTTTTGCTATAAATTTACAGAAGTATGGAACTTTTTGAAGTGAATGGATATATGCTAAGCAAACGTACGTACCTTTCGACGAATAAGTAGCAAAGCTTCACCACTACTGTCGCGTAACATTAATTCCCCTTCTGAGCCAAGAACACCACATCCATCAACTCTAAAAACAACCTTTTGGCCACAATCTGTGACCACAAAACCGCCTCCGTTCGCCACATGAGGCCTTTCCCTAACTACAAGCACTGTCTGAGAAGACGAACAATATAACTTGCTTATAATCGGCATGGCATCTGCCGTTGTTGCAGCCATCTATATCTTTTGTGTCTTTCTTGAAGCTATCTCCTTCGTCCCTTCAATAATGAGCTTCTTGCACGTTCCTTGTTACAATACAAGATTCAATTTATACAAAGAAAAAGGGAGAGAACAATGCAATTTATGTAGTTCCCACATTCAAAGGTTTGGCAAGCTTTTGACTACGTGTTACGTGGAAACTATACATAAGACGGTTGCTTGTTTGATGAGGAATGTTGGGTCACGCGCCCCTCGTAGACCAATCACTAAAGAGCCTGGGCGCGTGGATAACTTAGCTTCTGATGCACCAAGGGTATAAGCAAACATGGCTAGAACTTTTGAAAGTAAAATATACGAAGGCTAATTGATTATAAAGTAATATATATTATTAGTTGAAAAAACGAAAGTTTTTAATTTTTTTTTTTGAGCTTTAGGTTTTTATTTTTTTATATATATTAGTAAATTCTTTTATTTCATTAATTAATTTTATATAACACGAAAAATACATAGAACTATTAAAACAATAACATATATTCTAAAATACTAAATATAAAATATGTGTCGTTATTTTATAATTATATGTTTTTTGTGTGTTTTTAATGTGAATTATGATTAGCCAATGTGACGAAAAAGATTTAATTACATATTAAAAATCTAAATTAGAAAGAAAAAAATTAAAAACTTTTCTTCAATTAACAAAAAAATATATATATTTTATAACCAATTAACCATAAATAAATGTAGCAACTAGTCATCAAGCTAGCATGTGCTAATTTTCTTTGTTTGATGGTAACCACATAGTTTTTCAAAAAGGGTTCGTGAGCTTTTTGAAATTTGGCAGCATGGAAACAAGAAAGCGAATATTCCTTTTTCAAATATAAGACTTGCAGCCCTCTAATGACTTACTCTGTTCTACATAATTCCCTCAAGTAGGGTATCTAGGTTGCTTGTTGAAACTGGTTTTGGACTATCGTTTGGGAAACTTCAATAATTCATGCATTTTGATTTTTTTTTTTTTTTTTTTTGCTCATTAAATAGATGCCATGTATGACACATAGGCTTAAGCCAAGGTCGCACACCCTAAACCGTGTTCATATTGGTATTAAATTATTAATCCACTGGGGGATCTGCATCATTTAGGACAACATCTGACGATGACAAGTTCATCAGAAGGACGTGATCATCATGATACGGTGGTTTTGAAATTGGATGGATTACCTATGGCGGAGAGTGGTAAAGAATAAGAGGGATTTTTTTTTCTTCTACGAAGAGCGAGAAATACGCTTTTATTCTATTAATAGCTTGAGTAAGGTTTTACAATAAATTAAAATGATCAAATTATTAGGTCCACAGGGAATCTTTGCTTAGACAAACATATTTTTTATTCTTCAACAATGTAAGTACTTCCCCTTGAGTTTGAATGCTGACTAGTCAATCAATGATAATTGTAATGCATTGCTAATTACTAGCTAATCTGAAAGCAGGAAAATTTTCCTCTTCTTCATCCGTCCTTTTCTGGATTGATTTTGTGGTCATAAAGTATCTAGATTCTATCCCGAATCACTATCACCACCCCAATTGGATTATTAAATCACAAGAAGTTACTAATAATTGGCTGAATGGGCAAATTAAAGGTTACATGTTCCTCGAGGCCTATGTCTCACTTGTCCAAGATAGTTATGAGAGGGGCCTGTGAAAAAGCTATCTGAGAAGGCCCAGCCTACGAACTATAAAAGTGAAAATTTTATCTCTGAGAATAGGTTTGGTTGGCATAAACGGCTCAGTTACCAAAATAAAATAAATAATTATATATGTCCTCAGGTTTTTTACGCCGTCACGTAATAATGGCTAGTTCAAGCATGTTTTTTGAAAAAAAAAAAAAAACCCTACTAAATTCACCGTTTAAACTGTTATTGTTACTATTTTTTTAAATAATTAATAGTTTTTTTTTCCATGCTAAGTCATGGATTGAATAAAATATATTAAATCATTTAAAACAATTGTTTTAGTTTGATAGTTTGTTTTGTAGTGTGAATATATAAAAATATATGAAATAAAAGATGAAAAAAATTATTTATAATTTTTTAATGAAAATTTTTGTATTTAACTATTTCTTATCTGTATTTTTCATAATTTTTCCAATAGAAAAAGGATTTATCCTTGTTAATCCATGGATTATTAACTAAAAAGGAAATTAAATAAAATTTTTTAAAAAAGCTTTAGTATTTCATAAGATTGTACCGAAAAACATAAATAACAATTATTAAAAACTTACATAGAATTGAATAAATAATTTTTTTATTTAATGTTGATGAGAATATGGATTTTTGAAAAAAATATGAATTTAATATATAATATTTACAAAAGAATGAATAATATTAAAATAAAAAATTATATTAATCCGAATCATTAAGTGGTTAAGCCAAAAAATTATTTTAATTATTTAATTTTAAATATTCAAAAATAAACAAATAAATAGTAAATGCTTAGGGTAGTAGTAGTTGCATAATTAATTTCTGAGAAAACAAATATTCGGTATTTTTTTATACATTATAACTATACTAAGTGAGTTCGAGTTCTTGATCTAAAACAAAAAATACTAAAAAAAGAAGAAGTTCACTTGCAAGAAATCCATTGACTAAATTTGAAGTTAATAGACTAAAATAAAAATTATTACAAATTTGATTGCGATGAATTTTGATTATATAAAGAAGAAACATATTAATAAAACATGTGAATTTTTTTTTCTTCCATCTTAAATATTTTTTATTTCTATGCTATGCATGGCTAGTCTTTGAATACAAGCCTTACACGAAGAGCAACCATCTTTTTTTTTCTTTTTCACATATGACTTTCAACTATTAATTAATTAATTTGAGTTTTTTTCTAAAAAACAAAAAAAAATTATTTGAAATACACTTTTAATCTAAAAATATATTTTAGATAAATTATATATATCAATCATGCCACTATAATTTAAAAATGATCTAAATCTATTTTTCAAAAGAAAAAATAATCATGTTCTAAAAATTTATTCCAACATCCATATATTTAAAAAAATGAATCAAAATTATTCGTAAATTTAATTTTAAATTAATTTAGTGAGAATTTTAGAAAAATAACAAATTAAAGTAGTAAATTTTAAATAATAAAAATAATCAATGAAAAACACTAAAATAAAATGAGACCAAATCACAATAGAATCAAAGTTGAAATTTAAAAAAAAAAAAAAAAAAGAGAGAGAGAGAGTTTAAAAAAATGACAAATTAATGTAGTAAATTTTAAATAATAAATAAATTGAGAAACAATTATTTGGAAAACACTTTTAATCTAAAAATGTATTTTAGACAAATTATATATATTAATCATGCCACTATAATTTAAAAATTATCCAAATCTATTTGTCAAAAAAAATAATAATTATATTCTAAAACTTTATTCCAAAATCCATACATATAGAAAAATAAATAAAAAGTGTCAGTAGATATACTTTTAAATTAATTAAATAAGAATTTTTTAAAAAAATTATAAATTAAAGCAGCAAATTATAAATAATAAAAATAATTAACAAAAAAAAACTAAAACAAAATGGGACAAAATCACAATATAATCAAAGTTTGAAATTGAAAAAAAAAACAGAGAATTTTAAAAAAATGACAAATTAATGTAGTAAATTTTAAATAATAGAAAAAACCAAGAAACAATTATTTGAAATGAACTTATAGTCTAAAAATATATTTTAGATAAATTATATATATTAATCATGGCTCTATAATTTTAAAAGTATCTAAATCTATTTTTCAAAAGAATAAATAATCATGTTCTAAACATTTATTCCAAAATTCATACATATAAAAAAAAAAAATCAAAACTATCAGCAAATATAATTTTAAATTAATTGGATGGAAATTTAAAAAAATGACAAATTAAAGTAATAAATTTTAAATAATAAAAATAATTAACAAAAAATACTAAAAAAAATGACACCAAATCACTTAAAAATGCAGCAAGAGAGAAAAAAATTGATTTGTTATGCGGATAAAAATTAAATATAATAAAATTTTTATGAACAAAATTAGAAAAGATTACAAAATAGAGACTAAAATGTAAAATTATTAAAAGCCAAAAGAGGGCTTAAAGCAAGAGAGAGAGAGAGAGAGAGAGAGAGAGAGAGAGAGAGAGAGCCCGGCTACATCAACCAAACCACACAACAAAAAATGTTAACTAAAATTTTAATAACCAAAATAAAAAAATTACAAAATAATGATTAAAATAAAAATAAAATTAACTAAAAACCAAAAGAGAGATTTAAAAATGCAACAAGAGGGAAAATATTGATTTATTATAAGAACAAAAATCAAATATAATAAAATTTTAATAATTAAAATTAAAAAATATTACAAAACAGGGATTAAAATGTAAAATTATTAAAAGGAAGGAGAGAGAGAGAGAGAGAGAGAGAGAGAGAGAGAGAGAGAGAGGGGGGGGGGGGGGGGTGGCGGCAACATAAAATTAGAAAGAAAAAAACAAGGGGCCTTTGAGCAACAACAGAGAAAGAGAGGGGGAAAAGCCAGGCCAAAAAAAAAAAAAAACACTTATGAGCAGTGACTGAACAGTTTAAAAATAGTAATCTATTGTTGAAAAAGGTCATGCGTTTTAGTTTATTAATAATAATCAACATAACTTTCATCGTACCATTTACCCATTATCAATAACTATTATATAATAAATATTTATGGATGATATATTAATATTTTTTTAAAAAAATAATGTAAATAATAATTTAATTAATGAATTTAATAATATCTTTTAGAAAACTATATTACTTACTGTATGTACCGCTGCATCTATATCAACTATTAAAATATTAAAAGCTGTAATTTTAATTTATTTTTTAATAGAAATGGTGTTGGCGAGCTATGCGGATGTATTTTTTGCGTTAATTCTTTTAACAATTTTTAAAAGAAATGGTGTCCGCGAGCCATATAGATGTATTTTTGCGTTTTTTGCTTAAACCT